GCCAATCACAACGCACTGGATAGCTGGCCAATCAGAGCACACCTCGCTTTTCAGACGATGAGCTTTGTAAAAATCAACGCGTTTCAGAAAGGCGGGGCATAGAGGAGAAACAATAATGTACAGTATGTGGAAAATAATGTGTTTTTTAAACCTTAAACCGCATAAACACATTTCATTACACCAAATACACAAAATAATGTTCTTTTTAGCAACATCATATGACCCCTTTAAAATTACAATTAATTAAAACTATATAGATACATTTAAAAAAATACTAAACTACTTACTAAAACTTACTATTTATTTATTTATTTATTTTTTTTTTTTATATACACAATTAATCAAAAGTTTAGGGTCACTAAGAATTTTTTTTTAGAAAGAAATTAATACAAAAGATTTCTCAAATAAATGTTCCTCAGAATAGAAAATAGTTACTTTCAATTGTAATAATATTTCACAATGTTACGGTTTTTACAGTATTTTGATCAAATAAACTTTTTTTTTTTATGGTAGTATGAAATTATTGAGATAGTCCCCATAAAATAGTAATTTTTTTGTGTTGATCTACTGTTTCCTGTGTTTTAAAAAATAGATATCTGTATGACTTTCTTTAACTGGATCTATGAAGTTTTCAACAGTTCTGCAAAGCTAGACAGCAGTAAAGATTCTCGGCGACGCTATACCATTATCATGCGATCCCCTGGACGCAGTCGGCCATCTCCTTTAGCAGGGTCCTGGATAATGTCATGGATGTAACAATTGTTGTCATTCCCTTTGGTAAGAGTGAAACCTAAACTTCCTTTATCAGACTTCACCAGAGAAACCTTCAGCTCCACCTCCTAAAATGACAAACATTCCTGTCTTCATCACAACACAGAAGTCACACTTTGAATCTATAACACATGCAGGATATTCCATTAGGAATTCTCTAAGGAAGATCATTTGGATTAAATAACAGAGGTTGAGCATATGTCATGCTAACGGTCACTCACAGGAATGAACTTGTCCTCCTGGCCGTGATCTGGCAAACAGAGGTTAAGCAGGTTTGGCAGTGGTGGAGGAAGAGGGTCTGGACTGGGGCTCAGGATCCCAATCTCAGACAGGGCTGGAGAAGATGATACACGAACTGCAGAACTGTCCAAATCACTGGATGAAGATGATGAAAGGAGGACACAGACAGGAAATGGAACATGATTAATTAACATGCATTCTGCGACATACATTGAGAAAATATGAGGTGCTCCATCTAAAAGAGGGAATAAATTTCAATATGATTTTATTATATTACATTTTCTACATTTCTACATTTTTATGTTTTCTTGTAATTTATTTAAAAATGTAATTAAATTATTAAATATAAAATGCTTCATTTAAAATGCTTCGACACTGAAACTAAAAAAATATATAAATAAATAAAACCTGAAAAAACTGATGTTAAATAAAAAAGTAAAAGAAAATGGTTTGAGATCAGAATTGAAACTAAGAAACAAAAAATAAAACCTAAATTAAAAAGAAAAAAGAAAAAGCTTTATGAGATCGACCTTGAAACTAAGAAACAAAAAAATAAATGAATAATAAATAAAACAAAATAAAACTGATGTTATATAAATAATAAAAATAAAAATAAAATGCTTTATGAGATGGACATTGAAACTAAAAAAAATAAATAATCAAATGTGAAAAAAACAAACTTAAATTGATAAAAATTTTTAATGAAATTCCTTGAGATCGGCATTAAAACTAAACAAAAAAAAAACTGATGTTAAATTAAAAATAAAAATGCTTTATGTGATCGACACTGAAACTAAAAATAAATATGGAAAAACAATAGTAAAAAGTTTTATGAGATTGGCACTGAAACTAAGAAATAAAAAAAACATAAAAAAAACTTATGTTAAATTAAAAATAACAGAGAAAATAAATGCTTTATGAGATCGACATTGAAATCAAGCAAAAATTAATCTTAAAAGAAACTGGTGTAACTTGCATTTGTTCACAAACTAATAGTTACTAAAACACATTGACTGTTCCTGTTATTTTATTATTTTCATTTCTGCTCGTAAAGATTATGTCAAAGCAAACTTCAGTCAAGCCGTGTCAGATCTCTATCACACTGCATTCAGCAGTGCAAACAAGTGTTTCACTGCTGCTGGTTGTCATGTTTTATGACAGTCACATGACACTCCCACAGAAGAGAATTAGTTCCGTCACACCTGAACTCCTGGGCCCAATTATATTAAACAACCAAGTTTGCTTATGCAAGAACAGTGTTTACTTCTAAAAGACTTGTTTAGACTGACAAAGCCAAGTTATTAGAGGCTCTTACATGCAAGCACATATATTAACACAAAAAATTTTAGTCTTATGCTTTAAGAATAAATTTCTGACCTTCTGCTAACATCCGGTCTAGACATGGACTGTCTGGGTGAGTAATAAGCTGATCGTACGGTGTCATCCATATTGGCCTCGTCTGGGAGTCTTCCCATGGGGGTCTGGTAGACACTCCGGTCCCAGGCTTGACTGGCCTGCTCCAGGTTGGTGGGGCTGAAGGCCTCCTCCAGCTCATCGTTGTCTGTGCTGTCGCTGTAACTGTCTCTGCGACTGGGCGACTTCAGCATCAGCCTCTCCAGAGCCTCTTCCACAGCACCCACCCCCCGAGGGCACTCCGTCTGAGGCGGGGAGCTCGCCTTGGGATCAGGCTGGGGCTTGGGACGGGGTTCTTTTCGTGGAGAGGGTACGGGAGTCTGGGGAGGGTCAATTTTAGATTTTATTTTAAAGATGTACAATATCCCAAAACAGGTAGGCTGTTAATGTAAAAATTGAGGTGGATCACTGTAGAGCTACTGAGATAGCAATAAGACTTAATAAAATTAAAAAATATATATATATTTAATAAAAGTTTTAATAAAATGTTAAAAATAAATTAACACTCAAATTTAAAAAAAACAAAACAAAACCCTAAACTAAAATGTTTATTAAAATAAAATAATTAAAAAATATTCAAATAAATAAATAAAATGTAATACAATTCCATAAAATAAAACATCAAAACAAAATAAGACTCAAAATAAAAGCAAAAGACACAAAATAAATATTTAAACTCAGTACAACTCAAGATAAAATAAAGCAATAATATCATCAGTGAAATATAACACTCAAACTTAATAAAATAATAAAAATTAATAATAATAATAAATAATAATTAATAAAACATAATTAACTTAAACTTAATAAAATTAAATAATATTAAATACTCAAAATAAAATAAGAATTAAAATAAAATACAACAATAACCATACATACTAATTAAAATGAATAAATAAATAAGAAACACTCAAATAAATAAATAATAAATAAATAAATACTCAGTCTAATAAAACAAAAAAGGAAATACACAATAAATTAAGACTCAAAATAAAAGGAAAAAAGCTAAATAAAAAATAATAATAATTACATAAAAATGCTAAAAATAAATAAAAACAATATACTCAATAAAATAAAATACTTAAGATAAAAAAAATAATAAAAATCAATAAAATTTAATAAAATAAAATGAAATACTCAAAATAAAATACAACAAAACCCTAACCCTAAATAAAACAAAACACTCATTAAAAAATAAATAAATAAATAAAATAAAGACCAAAAATAAAATAAGACTCAAAATAAGACTCAATAAAATACATTTGTCTTTTGTGGTGGCACTACCTTTATCATGGAATATGTGTAGCTGTAATTTGCATTGTCTTTTCCTGATTTTCTTGAGTGAAAACCAAGCAGAATATTCCTTTAGATAAATGAATGTGATGCACGGACCTGAATTAAGATGAGCGAGATGAAAACTAAAAGTCTTACTTTAATGGCAGGGTCCATCTCAGGTAAGACCCCTGGTGCAGGTCTACACAAGTGAAGGGTCACCTCCGGTCCTGTGCCCCTCAGAGCAGAGATCACCTCCTGACAAACACCAAAGAAGAAAAGACATGTTTTAATAACGCTATTCTATGTTTGGATTTTTAGCATTAGTAGTAAACAGGGTAAAGGGTTAACGCACATGTTGTGACAGTCCTTTGAGTGACGTCTGATTGACACGCAGAATGACGTCACCCACTTCGATGCAGCCACTTTCAGCTGCTGGTTGCCCTGGAAACAGCTTCTTGACCCGGACCATGCTGGAGCCCACAGGCTCTCCGGGAATGTTCTCCTCACGGCTGAAACTGAAGCCCAGACCGGACGTGTTCTTCAGCAAACCCACATCAAATGTGTTATCTGGAGGGGGTAAACAAGAAAGAGGACAACGATTTAACCAAAGTTCAAAAACCAGCCCACATGTTTAACCTCTGGCACATTTTAATATGTTCGTCAACAAGTGTGTCGATTCCACCTCATACCTGGTGTAATGAAGTTGTATTCTGCTTTCTTTGGTGGTGGTGGTGGTGGTGGCGGCAGCGGCGGTTCCTCCACGGCTGCGTTCTGAGGTTCAGAAGTGACTTGCGGAGTCAGAGGGGCATGAATGCTGTCTTTTGGGGGCTGACCTTTCTCCATCAATAGATGCACCATCTAGACAGTGGGATTGTTTTTTTTTTATTGTGAAACTTTAAACTTTTTTTGTGAAAGTTGTTAAACTTTCAGAGAAGCGCAGTCCTCTAGACGGCGCAATGCAGCCTCACACCCAGAATTCTCACCTGGCCAGTGTCTCTCAACATCTCTACTGCCTGTTTGTGAGACGCTCCTTCAAGGCTCTTCCCATTCACAGCCACCACACGATCTCCTGTACGATACAAAATCAACACACAGGCTTATGTAATTGCAATTTTGGAATTGGGAATGCGATAAAAAATATAGATTGTCAAAATACGAAAAATATTATATTATTTAATTTATATAATACACTATATTATATAATTATATATATATATATATATATATAATAGTGTCCAAACTGCTTGTCCTAGGTAGGGTTGTGGGAACTTAATGTTGCATCTTTTTTATTTTTTTATATTATATTATATTACATTACATTATTATAATCTATCCATTTTTTCCAAACTGCTTGTTCTACGTAGGATCGCAGGAAATTAATACTACATTCATATTTTTTTTCTAAACGATCTAACATTATACTATTTTCTATTGATGACGTCTTTGTAATATTTGCTTAATGTATTTTGAATTGCCTTTTTTTCTTGAATATGCTTGCATACTGAATTTCCATTGGCTTTTTACACTGAAAGCAGTCAAAAGCCTAAAATTATAAAACTTCTTTAAAACAGAAAATGAATCTTTTTTTTTTTATTATACATATTAAAATTAATATCATATTTAATTATTAAAAAGAAAATGTAGCCCATTTTCTAACTCAAAGATTTGTATTTATTTTATTATTCATTTATTTTTTATTTGTATTTATTTGTATTTATTTTTTTTATTTTTTTTGCATTATGGCATTATTTCTGTAAAATGGTAAATGTCTGGACACAATTATTATTTTTTTTTAAATAAATTGTATGATTTTTTTAAAAATTACATTTATTTAAAATTTATATAATTATATAATACATATAATAATATAATTTAATTACATTCAGTAAAATAAGTACTACAATGATGTATACTTAAAACTGTACGTTTAAATAATTAATTTTGACCTTTCTTTATCCTCCCATCCAGCTCAGCTGCTCCTTTAGGAATGACACCTTTGACGTATATCCCTCCATGCCTCACTGTTGTGTTTGATCCACCCTGAGACAGACAAACATGTTACTATACCCAAAAAGAAAAGCATCATGGGAAAACAATGCCTATGATCTGTGTTCTGGATCCATGCATGTATTAAGAAATCAACAGGACATTCTCATTTTATATTTTGTAGATTATGAGTGAAGCATAATCAAAGCAAACCACTTGATTTCTTGAGTTGATGATTAATGCAATTTCATTGCAGTATTTTGAAAAACTGAATTTTCAAAAAAAATAAATTGTAAATCATAAAGTCACAAGGTCTACATAACACCACATGCTCGTGAATCTGAAAAAAGATCACTGTAAAATCAAACCGCAGACAAGCGAATGCAAATCCATGCAGGCATTGGTGCTTCTGTTATATAATAAAACTGTAAATGTGGCATGTTGTCTTGGCCGTGCGTGTTTCGGCACTTTGCTGTACCTACTGTGTTTCAGCTTTACCGTTAGTGAAGGAGCCAATTCAAATGCCTGTAAAAATCTGCATGCAAAGAGCCAAATTTACTTTCCCAAAACTGAAGCCAAGCGAGGAGCTTCAGAAAGGAGCGAGGGCTAAGGTACAAAAACAACCACACACACACACGCACACAAAAAGTAAGTCAAAGGGAAACAAAGGAGGAAAAAGGAGAGAGCGGAAACCTTTCCGAACAGTACCGTGACACTAATGCCCAGACTGCTGTCTATTTTGGACAGCTCAACGTCAAATAGATCTCCAGGCTGGAGGCTATTGACTTCTGGGCTACTAGCACTTAAAGTCTCCGTGACGATGTTGGGAGAAACGCCCTGTAAATAGAGAAGAGCTGGGTAAATACAAGGCCGTGCACAGCCGTACAACATGCAAGGGTCAAAGGGTCAGAGGTTAATGGTGTTGACATGCAAAACTGCATTGCATTTACATTCAGAAATGCAATTGGTCAGAAAGGGAGCGAGGGACGGTCGCAAGCAGTTAGAATGTTTTCATTAATATTTGACATTTGTGTGATTCTGAAGTGTACATATTGAACCTAAAGAGTGATATTAGCTTTTAAAGGGAAGGTCTAAGAAATGTGGAACTGATAAATATGAAATTCTATATGTGATGTACTAACCCGGAGGGACAAGTGAGTTTTTGAACTACAGTGCACAGATTTTATGGCAATGAATCACAAAAGATTTTCTCAGTCACTTAGCTGTGATGTTTAGCACTGCCCATACAGAATTTCCAATGGTCCATTTTTCAGTGGTTTCATGTGAGTTTGGGGTTAGTACGATTTTTTTTTATTTAATGAATTTAATAGTTTTGTTCTGCAAGGGTGCATAAACCGTTTCAAAAATGAAGGTATTTATGTTCAAAAAATATGTATTTTAAAAATGTCTATTTCAAATAAATGTCGTTGTTTTGAACTTTCTATTCATCAAAGAATCCTGAAAAAACGTATCTGGGTTTCCACAAGAATATTAAGCAGAACAACTGTTTTCAACACTGATAATAATAATAAATATTACTTGAGCCGCAAATCAGCATATTAGAATAATTTCTGATGAATCATGTGACACTGAAGGCTGATGTAATGACGCTGAAAATTCAGCTTTGCATCACAGAAATAAATTACATCTCAAAATATATTAAAACGGTTATTTTAAATGGCAATATTATTTCACAATATAACTGTTTTTTACTGTTTTTTGTTCAAATAAATGCAGCCTTGGTGAGCATTTCATAAACATTTTAAAAAAATCTTACTGACCCCAAACTTGGCTTAAGTACCTCATTCAATGCAAGTCTATGGGATACTGAAATTGCTTAGAAAGGTAATAAAACACCTCTCCTCAAAAAGCCGCACAATTTAAGGTATCATCAATGTCTGTAACCCAAAAGGTGGAGGAATTTGACATCCCTAATCCTAGAACGACTAATAGTTTTAGGGATGTTTTCCTTGGCAAGTGCCACTAAACATGTTGAGTTCATTGTTAAAAAGCTGTCTGATCGCACCTGGTTAGGACACAGTGTAAATATGAAATATGTTTGAAATCCTGAATAATGTTCTGCATCTGATCGCATGCAGGGAACTCCAAGGAGGGATGCAATGAGCAAGGGAGAACTGTCCTATTTATTCCAAAAAAAAAAAGCAATTTAATCATTTCTGTGAAGTTTAAGCATCTTAAAAAGCACACATCTCAAAGTTCATTTCAAACAGATGCTGACTAGAAACTCAAAACCTTGAGGCGAGAGTCAAAGTTCATTTAAATCACTACAGAGACTGATTCTACCTTTTTAGTCTTATGTTTCTCTTGGCTACTTGAGTATGTATCTTCATCCATGTCCGAATCCCCTCTGTCTGAGTATTCCAGCTCTTTAGGAACGTCCGGCACTTTGGATTTTCTGGTTTTAGGGGGCAAAGCTGGTGGTGTAGCTTCAACAGAGGGTTTGCTGTCAGCGGCGAGCGACTGCGCGGGTGCGGGACCCTCAGTGGGAATGTTGCGATGGAATCCATTGAGATTCGTTTGCAGGAGGCTGGCACTCTCGGTCCTGGAGTCCTGCGAACTGACGCTCCCCTGTCGAATGGACTGAGGTGGAGATGTCTTGCTGGAGACAGGAGGAGGGCTGGGGGAGCATGTATGATCTTCAGAGGAAGAGTCGACGTCTACTTCCTGATTTTGTGAGGCTGATTTATAATGATGGATTCCTGAAGGAGAGTCTAAGAGAGGCAAAAAGAGGCTCGTTTATGGTATTGTCATCTAAATAACACAATTTCTCCAGAAAAGCCTATTCTCAGCAATATCCGGGTGGAATCTTACTGCATTGTGCATATAGTTGCAAAAATATCATTTCCATTACCTGGAAACAGTCTCTCTTTAGGTTGAGAGACCACCAGTGTGACATCATCAGGGGCGTTCTGCAGAATCTCCACCACAGTGTCATGTGATAGGCTCTCCAGACTGAAATCATTCACGCTCAACAGCCTGTCACCTTCAGGAAATGCAAAAATGTGGCGTTAACAACAACCTTACACTGAACAATCCAAAATCTTTAAAGCGTTCTGGAATTGAGTTATTATAGTCAACGAAAACTGAAACTAAAACTAAAATAAGTAAAGCTGAAATACACATTAATAAAAGCAGTATTGACATAAAAAAAACCAAGAAAAAAGTTAAACTTTCAAATTAAAATGAAAACAGAAAATATCAAAATAAAAGTAATTCAAAATATGAATCAAAAATATAATAGTATCTAAATTTACTAAAATGACACTGTTCTGGAATCGTCCAGAATGTTCTGGAATCGTTTAGATAACTCCAAATGATTCCAGCATGCTTTGAACAAATCGAAAGTCAGGATTCTAGAATCATTCACAGAGGGTCGTTCAAAGAGTTCTAGGTGACGTTAAAGTCATTCTAGAATTATTTAAAGCATTAAGAATCATTTAAAACATACAAGAATTATTTAAAGCACTGTAAAATCATTTAAAGTATACTAAATTGAGAGTTTACCTTTTAAAAGAAATTTCTAAAATCATTTCACAGTGATATGTAATCATTCAAAGATTTCTGGAACCGTTTTAAAGTGTTCCGAAATCTTTGGATCATTCTTTTGTTTATTATTTATATTAATTATGGGATTATGGGAAAGCAATCCTTACATTTTCTAAAAGTACTCTAAAATCATTTAAAAGTTATTGCACAGTATTTTAAAGTATTACAAACAATAGTTAGTAATAATAGTTCTGTGAACTTCTCCACTAAAACGGGTGATGCTTCCAACCATAAAATTCAAAGAATTACATATAAATAAAGAATCAAGGGTGAAAGCACCACTCCTCTCCAGTTTCATACCTGGTTTCAGACAGCCGTTGATATCTGCTGGTCCACCTGGTGTGATGGAGCTGATGATGGTGCCGAGGTCCTGACGGCCAGAATTCTCTCCGCCTACGACCTGAAAGCCTGAGCGCAACACAAACCACACACTTCATTCTACTGTGTCACTACAAAAAGACAAAGAGTCAAAGATGTCTTACTGAAACTGTCATTTGTGCATATACTAAATGTACTTCTCCTATCAATGATCGACAACCTCTTATTCAGGCTGAATCCTGATAAGATATTTCAGTCACCATCTGAGGTGGACATAAAACAGCACATTCTGCCAGACCTCTGCACTCTATCACACTACACTTTATTCCTGTCACAGTTGTGTGTGTGTGTGTGTGTGTGTGTGTGTGTGTGAGAGAGAGAGAGAGATGTGTGTTCTGATAATCCGGCCGTTTAACAGCACTTCTGTGACTGGACATGTGAACCCGTTTTTGCAGCAGAGGGTCTTGTTACTCACCCAGCCCATACTTGACGTCTTTCTTCAGATTTACGGTCTGTATCTCTCGCTCTGGGGAGGTTAAGGCATTTACTTTCTTCTTCAGGGAGTCTGTGGGTGGGATATACCAGAGGGGAAGAGGTCTGGGTTTTAAAACAGAGCGTGTTCATTCATACATAAACATACTTTGAGAACTAACAGCCAGTGTTATTAAGGTTAATCGAAAATTTAAGTCCTGTTCACAGATTTACATTTTGAAAATTGAAAAAAAAAAGGATAAAAAAAAAAGAAAGGAAAAAAAAACTATATATCTCTACAGACCACAGTGATCTTTCATTTCATTTTAAAGGGGTCATATGGTATGTTTATACACAAACACACATACATATATATGTGTATATATATATGCACACACACACACACACACACACATCTATAATTTTATATTACACTTAATATTTCCATAACGCAGCTTTACTCAATTTTGCTTGTCTTCACTGACTCATTAAATTAACCAATCTACATAGATTAAAAATAAATAAATACATTAATTAATTAATTAAAAATACTACTAAAACTACTACTACTAATACTGTTACTACCATTTTAACTACTATTAAATAAAACTGATTAATAAAAACTGATTATTGATTTATATTATTTTGAATCAGTTTTTATTTTTACATTTTATGTTTTCATTTTTATTTTAGATAGTTTTAGTAATTGTGTTTTTTTAGTAGTTTTTTCTATATATGTCTATGTAGTTTTTATTCATTTCATTTGTCATTTCAGTTGTAATTTTAGTTATTTTAGTATATCAAGTTAAATTAAAATGAGATGCTGTAAAAAGTAAAAAAAAATAAATGTAATATTTTAAGTTAATGTTTATTTAATTTGAAGTAATCAAAATTTTGTTTAATGCTTTTCAATTTAGTTTCAGTTAACTATAATTTTAGTTGACTTTAACTTTTTATTTTACTATTTTATATATACTGATCTAACGCTTTATATACATTTAGAAAAAAACAGTAAATTTAGTCATCTCATTCAGATCTCATTATATTTAAAAATAAATAACTATACATAATTTACAAAATAAACATGTATATGTGAAAAATGTTGCTTTTTTTCAATTGTTCAAATACAGAATAGTTAGAAAGTATTATATACATCTGTGCTGTAACAAGCTGAAGACCTGCTCTTTTAGAGGGAAGAGCTAGCGAAAGCAGACTAACACTTGCTCTGTGTGTTTGTATTGGTATTAAACATATCAAACACATGCACAGCTCTCCATAAGCTGGGCTAATCTTTCATAACTAGTGTCTTGGTGCTAAGGGACGGCATTATGTTTGGCCCAGCTCTGATGTGCTATACTAACAGCCATGGCCAGCAGCTCATTCTCGAGGATGAGGGAGATTAGCCCACAACACAGCCATATTTCAGAGCTGCAAAAAAACGCACAGCTTAGTCTGAGCCAGAGACAGACGCCAATGAAACTTGAGCGGAGTGTGCGCGCTAGAGAGAAGTGCCATTGAAAAGAAGTTCTCCATGCCATGTAAAACACCAAAGACATAGCAATCCAGGGCATGTTGGATTTGGCAAGTTCTCGTCAGACTTTGGGTTCCTGAGCTCTGATTAAGCGGAGGTCGGTGTCACTGCGAGGTAAACTACTGTTATTGACATTAAAAACAGGCCTGTTTTGCTTCACTAAAAGTTCACTGCAATTTTAGCAGATGTTTGTGTTTTAGAGCCAGACCAGGACATGACATTTCCTACCAACTTTCAGGACTTACTCAATTTGACTATTGAAAAGAAACGGAAGACAAGGAGAAAAGTACATAGAGCTGTGCTGTGCTACACAAAGCTAAATGATTATATAGCGTACCAGTGATTCCTATGGAGGAAGCAGGAGTAGAGGGCACTCCAGAGCTGTGCATGCTCACACCTGGGGATCAGAAAAAAAACAAATCAAGTCACTAGACAGACACAACTACATCAGAAATGTAATATATGTATAAAAGAGGAAATTAATATATCCTGAGATCCTGACAATTCCTTCCTTGTGTCATTTTCAAAATCAACCAATAACGTTAATGCATAATGCACATTTTCTTGCACATATTTTTATTTTTAATATATTAATGCATTCTAAATCTTAGCCAATTTATTTAATTTGCTTTTATATATTTTATAAAATTGATCGTTTGACTCTAATTGGGTAAGTCGAATATAATTAAATATTATTTGTCCATATTATTAGTAAATATTATTCAACAATTTGAATTTTTTTTTTTTAGTTCAGGTCAGCAAAATATATTTAGTTTTTTTTTTTTAAGAAATGAATTCTTCTATTCAGCAAGGAAAAATTAAATTGATCTTTACTGTTGAAAATTAACATTCAAGTCATTCATATTGTTACAAAAGATTTCCATTTTAAATAAATATTGTTCTTTTGAACTTTATATTCATCAAAGACACATGCTGCTGAAAATTCAGCTTTGAGTCACAGGAATAAATTACACCTTAAAATATATTAAAATAGAAAACAGTATTTTAAATTAAAATAATATTTCACAATATTTTCACTGAATTTTTGTTCAAACAAATGGAGCCTTAGTGAGCATTAAGAGATTTCTTTCAAAAACATTTTAACCCAATTGTTTTTTAATTTTTCAATACACCTTCACAGTTATACCAAGTATTGAAGACTGATGTCTTATATTGTCATTTTAAATCAATAATAATGATTTCATCATGGTTAAAGATAACACAAAACAGTGTTTTAATTTTACATCATGTATTTCCAAATTAATTTCCACTAGGAATTGATGGTGTTACATTCCAAAATGAAGAGATTGAAAAAGAAAAAAACTTTTGTGTCACCCGAAAAGGAAAAAATATTTCTTTGGATTTACAGAATGTGCACCAAAAGGCTGTGCACAATAAAATCAGGAACATGCATGAAGAAAATAAATAGGGTAAATTTCATCCAAAAACAATTCTTTAGCATGCTAAAATCACTGTGACACAAAGCCAGTCGGTATAATATCAACCACAACCCCTGAAAACCAGCATCAGCCAAACACTGACAGTGGCTTTTAAATTGTATAAACGCTTGTATTATTCTCTGACATATAGAAATGCAATGATGCATGTACTGTACAGGCACATAAATTCAGACTGTAATCTCTTTATGGCATCGCTCTACATGCGGAGGAAGATGTTGAGAGGATTTGGGCTGCTGCTCTCTCTGATCTGACAGCGGCTGATGGGATGAAATGGAGAGGTAAAATGAAAAGATCAGTGAGGGAACAGAGGGAGAGAGCTGTTAAAAAGATCAAACGAAAGAGGCAGACAGCGGCTGACTCCAGAGAGAGGCACAGACAGATTCCGCCCACTATCCTGACAGACTATCAGAAGAGAGAGACTACAAAGCAAGGAAGTTAGAGACGGCAAAAGAACATTCAAAAGCAGAAAGACACGCTCTTTGAGGTGAGATGAGCCATTTTCCAGGCAGGTTCGAGTAGAGATAAGAAAGAAACAGCCGGCCGTGTCTCGTTGTCCTCACCTACGACATACGCCTGTCCCGTGTCCTCACAGGAGGAAGAGTCGGACCCTTTCTTCAAGCTTTCGGGGCTCCAGCGGGGACTGTCATCGACCGTGGCGCTGAACACACTGATGATGCAGGGAATAAAGAAAACTATCATGAAAATCAGCGCAGAGGCAATTACTTCCAGCGGCAGAGCAGAATAAATGCAGTTATTTTCATTTTCTGATCAATCCATAATATTGCTGGAGTGAGGAACTCTAATATTGCAACACTGCATATTTAGAAACCGAATCTGCAATCTGCAGTTACAATCTGCTAAATCAAGACTTCCCTCACAAGAGCACTGTTCCTGTGAGCATGCATCACACCATGGAGTCTGAAACATTACAATTATCTTCACAGGAACATAAAAATGCTTGCAAACATCTGCCATCACTCTCACATGCACAGTGACTGTCTGTCTCCCATGAGAGCTGATTAATGCTGTTGGCCCCAGGCAGCTCAGTGCCAGGCTGACAGAGCAACAGAGAAATGCAGAACAGGAGAGTGCGACAGGCGTAAAGACATTAGAACACAAACTGCAGACGAGTGGGAGAGTGAGACAGGTATAAAAAAACAAAAGTAACAGAGAAGGACAGTGAGACAAGTATAAAGATGTAAGACGGTAGACTCTTGCCACTCTTTTAAAGACATAAGCCAAACTACAGCAGATTAGGAGAGTGAGACAGGTGTACAGACATTGTACAATCAGTGTAAAATGGGTGTAGAGATACAGAAAAAGACACACTGCAGGACCTTATGGTTAGTTATTATCTATTAGACATTCTAAAACAAAATGTACAAGATTAGGAGAGTGAGACAGACATCATTTAAAAGATAAACTACAACTGATCAGGAGATGACGACGGGTGTAAAGATAAAGACATAAGCCAAACTACAGCAGATTAGGAGAGTGAGACAGGTGTAAAGACATTGTAAAATGAGTGTAAAATGGGTGTAGAGATACAGAAAAAGACACACTGCAGAACCTTATGGTTAGTTATTATCTATTAGACATTCTAAAACAAAATGTACAAGATTAGGAGAGTGAGACAGACATCATTTAAAAGATAAACTACAACTGATCAGGAGATGACGACGGGTGTAAAGATATTGTAAAACAAAGCATAGAAGAGCAGGAGAGTGAGACGAGTGCGCAGATATGAGAGAAAACAGCAGAACGAGTTTTGAAAACAAGAGAAACCATGTTAGTGGTAGAGAGTGAGACAGGTGTAAAGATATTGTAAAACAAAACAAAAAAAATCACTCGGAACAGGAAAGTGAGACAGGTATAAATGCATTAAAGGGCACACAATGCTAATCGTGAGAGAAAGATGGGTGTGAAGTGAAAATGAACTGCAGCAAAGCAGAAGAGTGAGACGGGTGTAAAAACATTGTAAAGGAAAAATTCATGAGAACGGGAGAGTGAGACAGGTGTAAAGATATAAAAAAACTGTAAAAAAAAAATAGGAGATTGATACAGGTATAAAGAAATAAGACAAACTGAATTAAATCAAGAGACTGACGTAGATACAAATAGATACATGTGTGTTTTAAAGGGCTACAGTGCAAGACGAGTGTAAAAAAAAATCACTCAGGAGCAGGAGAGTGAGATGGGTATAAAACCACTTAAATGCACACAATGCTAATCAAGAGAGTAAGACGGGTGTGAACTCATAAGACAACCTGCAACTAAGCAGAAGAGTGAGACAAGTGTAAAAACAATGTAAAGCAAAGACAAAGCAGGAGAGTGAGACAGTTGTAAAGACATAAAAAAAAAAAAAAAGGATTAAGACAGGTAGAAAGAAATAAGACAAACTGTACGGATCAGGAGAGTGAGACGGGGACAAAGACATCATAAACTACAGCCGAAAAGAATAGTGAGATGGGTGTAAAGACATTGTAAAATAAGTGTAAAATTAGTGTAAAGATTTACAAAAAAGGCACACAAGCGGAATGGCAAAATGAGTTATTCTCTATTTGAGATTAAAAAACAAATTATACAAAATAAGGAGATTGAGACGGGTGTAAAGACATTATTTACAAGACAAACTACACTTGACCAGGAGAGGGAGACAGCTGTCAAAATATTGTAAAACAGCAGATCAAGACAAGTATATATATATATATATATATACTGTATATCTCACACACACACACATTACCGGTCAAAGGTTTTTAATGTTTTTGAAACAAGTCTCTTCTGCTCACCTAGTTTCTGTTTGTGCAAATTGTACCGCCATCAAATACAAAATGACCTCCTTCAACAATAATGCAAAATTCTATCAGTCTGTGAGGTCAAGGAAAAACTCTGAAACTCTGAACTTTTAAAGGCTGGAACTTATGCAAAAATTCAAGTACTATAGAAATTACACAGTTTTAACTTTATTTAACTTTAATGCATGTGCCTCAGTCAGAATAATGAGTCAGAGTTGGAATTAAAAGCGAGCACACAATTTTTTCAATTCATTGCAATTTAGTTTGTATCTCCTCTGACTAATAGATCAGGACTTGCCCGGAAAGAAAAAAAAGGAATTTTTATTTTTAATTTAAATTTTTTTTGGTGGTGTAAATTGAATTTATTCTGAAGCAATATTTTCAATATTTGCCCCTTAAATTGATTTCCAATGCATTTTTTTTACTTAAAGGGCATTTTATTTAATGACTTTTAATGCTATTTAAGGCCCTAATTTTCACAAAATCCATTTGACTTTTAATGCTTTTTGATGCTCCACTGAAACCCTGCATATAAGACAAACTCCAGGTGAGAGATGAGATGAGAATGTAAATACTACAAGACAACCGGTGAATAAGACAAGAATGCAACAGTCATTTGTTTTGTAAATATACGTTTGCATGTGTCTCTCACCCTTCCTGTTGTCTGGCGACGGCAATGGAGTCTGTGTCGGAGCTTGCACGTTGGTGTGTTGATGCAAGCACTTGTGATCGTGGCATGCCGCTCTGTGATTGGCTACTGAAAGGCACCATCCTGTGCTCTGGTGACTCAGGCAGCTGACCCAGGTTATGATGGGAACGACTCTTCATCCTGGGGTTGGAGCTGCTGCTGAACCCCTGATAGGGTGGCTCAGGTGGAACAGAGATCCGACTCAAACTCTTGCTGAGGGAGATCTCAGAGTAGGACATCCTCTTGTAGAGTTCGGGGTCTGTGCTAGGGGACAGACTAACTGCGCCCATCCCGTCAGAGTACTGCAGACTGCTCAGAGGAGAGTTCTCTGGAGGGAAAACGCAAAGTACAGTTTCAGCTTACATGGCATTTGTGACTTTTACACAACCAAGAAAGTTCTACATCATGGCTTGCATTGACATTCAAACCTGACACTTGCAGTTTAATTAATGCCAATTCTTCAAGAGCAGCCTGAGGAGGAAGGGCCTTTTTGGAACACTTCCCAATTTTCTCAAGGTCTCTTATTTCAAATGAGCTTTTCCTTGCTATTTTCTCATTTAGTTTAATAACTAGGAGTTCAGTGTTCGAACTATACCGTGGACTTTGGGGGAGCCCACTTGTTTTTTGTTTTTTTTATAAAAAAGAGAGCTTACAATGACTTACAAAGATACATAACAGCTACAAGTGTATGCACTACTTGCTTTATGCAAGCACTATATAGGATAAATCACTATACAGGATTTACCCTATTTTACTTTATCGACACGAATTGATAGGTGAAACAACAAACAGCCACCCACAAATAGTCTATATACAAAGCATCAGGCTGTCTTTGAGTTCACATGAACAACGGTTAAAATTACTTGTCGTCAGGCTACAGAAGAATACCATAATTCCTCCGTTCAATTAGGCCTACGACATCGAGAGTCTAGCAGACCTATAACAACCCACAGCCACAACACATAATTGCGAATAACATGCCTTACCTTAACACAGAATCGACCACAGAGTCCAACGTTTATATTTTTTCTACGAAACTTTGAGTTAATGTTCTAAACATGAGTGGAATTTGCACCGCACCGCCCCCACACCTTGATGCTCATGACAAGAATAGCATGTATAGTTATCTTTATTGAAGTGAATTAGGTTTAAATCGCCGTCATGCATGAATGAATGATATTTTTGCAATTTTACACATAATAATCCATGATGATCACATTACACAAAACTGAAATTGCACGTCAAAATAACACATTGTCAATATTTTTTGAGACCCCCCAAAATTTCATAAATCACGTTTTCAGGGGAGCCCATGTCTTATTAAGGGGAGCCGAGCTCCCCCTAGCTCCCCCGTAGTTCGCACCCTGTAGGAGTTTAACTCCTATATACTGCCTGAAACTAAAAGTTGTTTTCTCTTTGATGCAAATAGTTCTGAATTATAGAAATTAAACATCATAAGTCCTCAAGTGGTCTTACTTCCTTCTTTGAAATTGTACTCTCGTCATAGAGGAAAATTTTAAAACAGAATGTGATTTGTTTAATATTATAAAAATTTTATTCTAAGTAAATATTCATTAAATGCTGCTCCAAAGTGTGGGGTCAGTAAGCCTTTTTAATGTTTTTGAAAGAAGTATTTTATGCTCACCAAGGCTGTATTTATTTGAACAAAAATACAGTAAAACAACAATTTTGCGGAATATTATTACAATTTACAACAACTGTTAAATGTAATTTATTCGTGTGATGGCAAAGCAAAATTTTCAGCAGCCATTACTTTAAGTCTTCAGTGTCACATTATCCTCCAAAATCATTCTAATGTGCTGATTTGCTGCTCAAGAAACATTAATTATTATGATTTTTCTCAGGATTCTTTGACAAATAAAAAGTTTGAATAAAACAGCATTTATTCAAAATATACCATAATTTCATTGTTTCTGAAAAGTATTAATAAGATCTTACTGGCCCAAACTTGAAATGGCACATAAAAATAAAGAAATCAAGTATCATCAATTTCTTGCCTTTCTTGCTCACAAATATGTGACCTTGGACCACAAAACCAGTCATAAGGGTCAATTTTTCAAAATTGATATTTATAAATCATCTGAAAGCTGAATAAATAAGCTTTCCATTAATGTATGGTTTGTTAGGATAGGATAATATTTGGTCGATATACAACTATTTGAAAATCTGGAATCTGAGGGTGCAAAAAAATCTAAATATTGAGAAAATCGCCTTTAAAGTTGTCCAGATGAAGTTCTTAGCAATGCATATTACTAATCAAAAATTAAGTTTTTATATATTTACAGTAGGAAATTTACAAAATATCTTCATGGAACATGATCTTTACTTAAGTCCTAATGATTTTTGGCATAAAAGAAAAATCACAAATATACCCCAGTGACTTAAGACTGGTTTTGTGCTCCAGGGTCACATATACAATTTGAATCAAAAACAAGAATCAATGTTTGATTTCTCCATCACCATTTTGCTTGCTCATTTTTTTTTTCTTCTCACCTAGGTCTTGCAGTTCTTGGTTGTTCTGTCTGGCTTTCATGTGCAGGTGGAATTTGTACTGGGCCGAGCACAGGTGCAGCAGATACTGGCAGGTCTTCTGACTGTCTGTCTGAAACAGATGCTTGATCCCATCTGAAGTGTTCTGCAAGCAAATCTTCTTTTTCTGCCATACAGAAACACAAAGACATAAGGGGTGTTACTGACACTCCTGAAGCTGAACTTCGTTGGCTTTTTTCTGGGCCGTGTGATTTCCACTAAATGTAAACATGCACATTTAAACATTTTACCGTGAAAGAGATCTTCTTGGTATCCCTCCAGAGGAACCTTAGCACAGGGGTTCGATTTCCATTCAGAACCTCGAAGATGAGGACACCCTTCGAGTAAATGCCCAGCATGATGCCAGTCAGGGATCTCTTCTCTGGATGCACACGATGGAAGTGAACTCCATATTCCGACAGTCTCTGGCACACCTTTGCATAACAGAGAAATGACGAGACAGATCTAATCACATGCAGACTACAACAACAGCTATTAGAAAAGGAAATTGAACTGAGTCAAAATATTTAAGGTCAGTTTATTCACAATAATTGACAGCACTTATCTCGTCAAAAAAATAACCAATTCATGTCTGTGAATGCGTAAAACCAAGTTCCAAGTACAACTTTTGGTCTTGTGACTTCTCAAAGTCAAAAAGCTGTAATCAAGAGTATCTGAGAGAAAACAGACTGCACAATCTTCAAGTCGATTACGGAAGTTTGGCCAATCGGGAAGCTCTGCCTAGAATCATACTGCAGAACTGATGCGTTTCATTTAGTTCCTGACCTTGAGGAACTCAAGCTCGGCCTCCTGCTCCGAAGCGTTGTAGTACAAGCTGTGGAGTTTGGGTAGCTCTTCTTTAATGGTGGTCTGATCGATCTTATCCAGAACCGAAGCAGGGAGGTAGTGTTCCGTCCGGAAATATGTCCTTCCGTGGAGCTGATGGAACACAAAGAAAACATGTACGTATGTGAGATGATGCTAAGATGATCAAGATAATATATATATATATATATATTTTTTTTTTTTCACAAAAATCTTAATTTGTATTTTGAATACAATGCACTTTCAGTGGTGCTATAATAAAATAAAATATTCATCTCTTTTTCCAATGTAATTTGTACCTCAGTCTGATAGTCCCCAAACTCCGCCTGCAGTGCCAGAGATGCCAAGATCATGGCATTTTCCAGGTCACAGCGCACCCGCTCCTCTAGTATATCCTTCCGTAGCTGCAAGTAGTACTGGTGTTTGGTCATCATATGTCTATATAAAACAATGCTAATTAATTAATTTGGGTTTAATGAATAATACATAGATATACATATATACATGCATTATATAAATAATCATTCAAAAGTATGGAGTCAGAAAGTTTATTTTTTTTTTATAAAACACTTTTATTCAGCAAGGACACATTAAATTTATCAAATATGACAGTAAAGAATTTTAAATTGTTACATTGTTACAATTTTTCAAATAAATGCCATTCTTTTTAACTTTCTATTAAAAGAATGCTGAAAAAATGTACAGTTTCCACAACAATATTAAGTAGCACTAAGAAAAATAGCAAACTCGTTTCAGCATTTATAATAAAAACTGTTTCTGGAGAATAGCTGAATAGCTTTACCATCACAGGAATAAATTACATTTTAAAATATATTAAAATAGTAAATGGTTTTAATTGTAATAATATTTCACTATATTACTGTTTTGATCAAATAAATGTAGCCTTGGTGAGAATAAGACACTCTATCAAAAACATTTAAAAAAATCTTAGACCCCAAACGTTTGAACAATAGTGTGTGTGTATATACACATGCATAAATATAAATATAAATATAAATATATATATATATATACGCTTCTATAGATTTATTCATATCACTGCACTTTTTGAGCATGAAATACACTTGAATACAAAACAGCAAATCAAACCTAACACTGAACACCAGCACATGTTTGGGCACGCATAATCGAACACTGCAAACAAAGTCTAAAATTAAGTGGCCAAAGGTGGGAGAAGTGAGAAAATGTACCGACCACAAATATTTTTTAACTATTTCAAACTATTTCCTTAAAACATATTTTTGTCACTGCAGCATAATCAAGACCCACTGTGAACTGGTTTATATTTTCTTTTTGGTGGAACATGTTACCACATTAAGTTCTGGAGTTGCAACAATAAAATCGCAGAAAAAGCATTTGGCTTTCTAGCTACATTTCTGATAGTAAAGATTGCAATGATTTAATGCATTATTTTGCAATTCATAAAAAAGCTACTGACTCACGAGAAAGAAACTATATTTTTGGACTCTGATTATGTTGTCAGGCGGCCCCTAAGCTCTTACTGTATCAGACTGATATCATCCTGAAAGAACTTGATACGCAGAAAAAGATTAAAATTGACATCAGTCTTCTTTTTCCTCGGGTCATCCTTCCATCCGTCAGGCGCCACCTTTGAAAGTTTGGCATCAGGTTCAACGAAGAAGAACTCGTCATCTATAAAAAAAAAAGGAAACAGAAAGAAAGATAAACAAACAGATTATGCTAAAACGGTTCAATGCAGCATAACAAGTAAAGCAGCCTTTGGCTTGGGAGGCATGAGTCAGAGGACTTAATGAACCATCTGTGGACACAAACCACCCGTGTCCATTAGAGCCGTAACTAGAGAAGTCACACAGGGGCAGCGTGTCAGGAAGAGAACAACAAGTTATTTATTCTGTAGTATTTACACACTTCATAATCAAATAACTCTTGTTTACCTGAACAGGTACCCATAACATAAGCTGCAATAAATCGTACTGTTGACATTTCAAGGAAATTCTTCCTAAATACCATTCAAAAGAGGAAATTAAAATAAAGGAGCAATGAGATATAATAAATTCAGCATGGTGCTTTCATTCAGACTCAAACAACAACAACAACAACAAAACTGTGTAGGAAATTTAATTTATCACAACACAAGACTCTTTACTTTAGTTTTTGGTATCAAACAGAAAGGTATACAAAATACTAATGGGGGCAGAAAGGTAGGCAATGTATTTTAACATGGTTCCAATGTGCATTTAATCGCAGTTTAAAAGGAGATGTTTTATGCACCTTTAAGGTAGGCGAGACTGAATAGATGGTGCTCCACCAGTCCAATGTGAGCTACGACCATGTCCAAAACGTCCTTACAGACCGCCTTCACATCGCAACACAGCTCCAACTTCTGCCCATTCAGCAAGACCAATCCCACCTTCCTCTGACTCTCCTCCACCTTCCCACGCTTGTTCTGTTGAAACACATGCAAAAATGATAAATGCATACATATGCACAAATACAAAGCAGTATAAAGCAAAGCAGATTAGCTGTCTTACCATTATGGATGAAGGAACGGTTAAAACCACAGTTGGCTCGCTGCTCATCCTCACAAACTCAGGGCCAAACAAATTCTACAACAAGAACAAAATACATTTTAAAGGTCCCACATAGTTAAATTTAAAGGCCCACCTTAAGAAAAAATGTGCCTTTCACTGCACCTAAAATGTATAATTGCAGAAAAATATATATACATTGTATTGAACATTAATGGAGCAACAGATTTTGTGTGAAAATAAATAATTCAAGTTGTTTATTTTGTTTAAAAAT